CATAAAAAAATAATTAATCGAGGCGAGGCCAAATGAGTCGGGCCTGAATTTTAAGTCCTTTCGGCAAGAAAGCCTCAGCCAGTTTCCCAATGATCTATGATGGACAAAATCATACATTAGTAATTAGGAGCATACATGATTTCCATACTGCTAAAATGGTTGGACTTGTAGTGGAAGTATGAAAATCTTTCATGAGTACGATTCACGTCGTGAACTAATCTCGAATGTCTCGTGCTACATTTTTTAGTTACAGCATATCTGGTAAAATTAAAATTAACTTTTATGCAAGAAAATACAAATCCCAAACTGCAAGAGCTAAAAAGGACAAGCGTTGCACCTTCTCCAGTGACTTCACAGAAATTGTATTTAGAAAGTAGAAAATGAGATATTACTTTAACTAACGTCAATTAGTGCCCGGATTTCAGCGTACATCACATGCTCTAGCTTTAATTAAATTATTTTAGACGCCTTGTCTTCCCTCCCAGGCATCCCTTGTTGAAGCATCACGCAACGCTCAAATTTTCGTTTTGTAATTTGTCTATATGTTCCAAATATAGTGACACATGTTATACAATGTGGCCACCAATCGTGAGCTGTCAAGATCTCGCATAATTTATCATGGCTGATTTAAGATGTAACATTATTATGATATTTCACGTGCTCGAAATCGAATGTGGTTTCAGTCTAACAGATCAAGTCGACCTACTATGTCAACTTAAAAAATCACCTTTTGGTCGTTCAGTCTTCCTAAATTAAAGAACGAGCCATCTTTGTTTACTTCACTAGATATTACCCACCTCAGGTAGTTTCCATCTTTCAGCTTCATTATAAAGAACAACCCATCTTTGTTTTGCTTCACTCATTCCAAAACAAGCAAACTTACCTCAAGTCCTTCGCAATCAGACTTTCCACTTCAGTGTATCAGCATCAGCATCATCCTCCAGTCCCACCACCATATATTTCTTCTCAAGTCCTGCCTTCTTTTTTCTTCAGGTTTTGTTTTCTCATCTCTTGACTCATTGCTTCTGTTCTTTAATGTTCTTGGTGTGCACCATATTCATATGAAATCTACAGTTTAACAATGCTGCTTCCACAGTTTTTTTTTCTAGTTCTGTCGCTTTGACATTTCGGGTAACTTCCAAATGAGCTGATCTAGATCTGTTTCTTTGCTAGTTGATGTGCATTTTGGGGGATATGTGAGAAAGCCTTGATTTGGGTCTGCTGGTTTTTTAGAAGCAATTGGTGTAAACCTAGTAGGATTAATTGCCACCTTCTGCAGAGTCGGCTTCTGCATAGCCTGCATTTCCAAAACCAGTTTCTCTAGATTCTGCTTCTCCATAACCTTCTTCTACAACAACGTAATCTTCAACAGGGGATCATCAAAGATGACAAGAATAGACTCTTCAAGCGTTTTGGTTCTTTCACAGAAGACCCTATATGCTTCGTTAGTAGAAGAGTATCCAAGAATCTATCCGACTTAGAGTCGAACTTTCCCACATGATCACTAGCATTCTTAAGGACAGAGCGAGCACAACCAAATTTATGAATGTAAGAAACATGGGGCTTCCCACCTTCGCAAAGCTCAAAGATAGTCTTGCCAAATATAGTTTGCAAGGGAACATGTTTCGGGATAATGACACAAACAGTCCTTGAACTTTGGTCCAATGTGCAATTTGATCCCTGAACTTTTAATTTGTTCAATGTAGTCCCTAAACTTTAGCCTAATGTTCAATTTAGTCCATGAACTTTTAATCTGTTCAATATGATCCACAGACTTTTAATACATGTTCAATTTAGTCATTGAACTATATAAAAATATTCAATGTAGTCCCCGAACTTGAATTAATGGAAGGACTACGTTGAATATTTTCAAATAATTCAGAGACTAAATTGAACATATTCTAAAAGTTCAGGGACCACATTGAACAAATTAAAAGTTCAAGGACCAAATTGAATATTAGGCTAAAGTTCAGGGACTACATTGAACAAATTAAAAGTTCATGGACCAAATTGAGATTGGGTCAAAGTTCAGGGATTGTTTGTGTCATTTTCCCTTATCTTTTCTATTGGTTTCCTAGGTTGGTCGAAAAGGAAGTAAAGTTGGGAGAAAGATAGCAATATGTGGATTCACCCAATGAAAGATGAGATATTATTTTTCTAGCTACAGATCATGGAAAGAAATGGTTTGGCTAATTGAGAGGTTTTTAGGGTTTTGAAGCTTCTGCCCCAAATCATCTTTACTCTTTAAGAGAAAAAGAATAGTAAAAAAAACATATCGGTCCGGTCCGGGCGGTTTGGTTCCGTACTTGGAATCGGAAACTGCTCAGAACTGGCCGGTTTAGTCTGGCACCCGGGTTGGAATTGGACTATTGCTCACCCTTTGTAATCATGACTATTTGGGAGTCGAAATGTCATGATCATAATTATCATTACTTTTCTGACCGATATCATAAGTTCTCTAGACCAATCCTAATACATTTGTGAGGTCCAAATATGCAACTATGAGGGAGAGAATTGATTTTTCAAAAAAATAAACTCTAATTTTGTACAACCTACCCCAATAAAAATCTGCTTCTCCTGCAAAGTACATTAGTAATATATAGACAGCAGAAATCAAAAAAGTTTAGAGAAAGTACTCCTCTTTCCAGCTCTAGCACCTTAAATAAACGTAATTCCACTAGTTATACCAAGAGTACAAATACTGTCTTATCCCCTAGTTATAAACTTTGTGCAGAGTTCCATCACTATTAATGGGTGGCTCCGCGATTTCTTATGGGCACAAGCATCCCAAGTAATTCAGTCTTATGGTTCTTCATCATCTGCATATGGCCTTTTTTTCCTAGGTATTCATTTTGTATGGGCTTTTAGTTTAATGTTTCTATTCAGCGGGCGTGGCTATTGGCAAGAACATGTGTAGAATCCGCTGTCATGCGGGTCGAAACCGGATATGGTTTGATTCTAGGGTTTTATTTAAATGGGCTGGAATAGGTAGTGGGCCGACGCATTTAGAGTTTAGGGTTTTTTTTATTTTTCTTATTGGGCTTTGGGCTCTTGCTTTTTTTAAAAAAAGAATTTCGGGCTTGGCCCTTTCCTTTAAAAAAAAAAAATTTCAGACCGGGCTCAATAAATGAGCCCGGTTCGGTTGTGGACCCGGGCCGGCGCGCCCGGGTCAGTCTCGATCAGGGTCGGATGTGGAGATCCGACCCGGATCCGATTTTTATATTATTTTTATTCTTTTAATATTAAAAAAATTTTAATTTTAAAAAAAATTATTAATTTTTTTTTGGGTCGGATGTGGAGATCCGACCCGGTCTGTTTTATATTATTTTAATATTAAAAATATATTTCAAAAAAAATATTATTTAATTTTTTTTAAAAAAAATTTCAAAAAATTAGAAAATTTATTTGGACTTTGGAATTAGCTTTTCTTGCCCCTTTTGCATGATTAGTGTCATTTTTGATTGCATGTTGCTTGTTTCATACACTTTGAATTGTGCGTTTAACTTAACTTCGCATGTGGTCGATTATGCATATTAGGTTTAGATATTGATTGTTGCTTCCCTTAGCTTAGTTAGGAATGGAATTTCGAGACTTGCGATTAGTGTGAACACGTTAGGCGGTAATTGAACAGGGTTAAGTATCGAAAGGGCACTAATTGGTCAATTAGTGTAATCAAGTCCCGTACCCATTGAATATCTGGTTCGTAGAAGTGAAGCATTTCTCCCGTGCTTCACTTGGGTGTCTAATCGACCCACCAAAAACCGATTAGTGGCAACTCCTAGATAAAATTGATTTGCATGTTAACAACTTAAACTTAAGTCCCGAATTGGTATGGGCTTGGGAGAGCTCGAGCTAGGTTTAACTTAGTAATTCATTAGCCAAACCCCTTAGGCGGCGGGGCCGGTTCGGGGAGGTCGCGACACATAATTAGGATCAGTTAAAGGGACTCAAAGCAAGGAAGGAATTGTGTACGAGGATTTACTAAACAAGAAGTTTAGCCTTTTAATGTGATATAAAATGGCTGCGTTGGTTCATCTTTCGTGGGATAAACGAGTCTGTCTGCCTTCGATATCGCCTCTAGATCTTAGAGAAGCAAGTTTTGGTATTGGAAGGTAAAATATATATTTTTAAAATGATTAATATTTCCTTTCCTTTTGCATTTGCTAATTGTCTAATATTTCCTTTGTTAATTCTAATTGTCTTCAATCTTGATGCTCGATCACACACTTTTTAATGTATTATTTCTTAATTGGTTCACTTTATTCAATGATGTCATTAGTATATCAATAGTATATTCTTGTTTCCTACTGCATTTGGATACCATTCTTTCTCAAGTTAGCTCAAAGTGTCCTTTCTCGTCACTCCTTTTTGCCTCCGCTTACCACTGGTTGACCGTGGTAATTTTAGTCTGCACTTCGCACGACATCGCCCATGATCGGCTATATATATATGCATTCTCCGGCCGAAAAAGTCGATTCCAGGAGCAACTAATCTCCGGCCCAACGAAACATTACAAAATAAAGGACCTGCTAAACACGCGCCTAGTGGTGGTGGCAACACCAGTGACCACCATGGCCAGGCAGCTCCTCTCTTTCACAAAGAGACTTTTTTTGAGGGCGAACCTATAATTTACGCTTTGATTCATTTTTTTGAGGATTTTTTCTATGCAAGTACTCATTATTTTGCACGTTTAAAGTGGAACACCTTATCGATCTCTTTTTGTAGAGTAGGTACTTTCGGCCGAACCACCACGCAAACCCGTGGTGTCTTATTAATTTCTTGCACTTAAATGCTCATAACGAATCTTTTGTATTTGTTCACGCTTCCGTGATTTTGTGCAACAATTTTAAAATTAGAAAACTTCATGTTCGGATCCATATAAAATTTTGTAGGACGATAATAACTATTATAAAAGCTTAAATGCGTTGCTTCGTATTTAGTTTTATATTTCGGTCTTCTTACACAACCTTTGTTCCTTTGCAATAACTACATTACTTGCATAGCTTGGGCTCGATGGACGTAAAGCTATCTATAGGAGAGGAGGAGGTTGGCATGGACGCCTCGATCCGGGAGTTGGTCCAGAAGGATGAAGGAGGAACTTCCCTGAATATGTTAGACGATGGAAGGGATTCTATGAAGGAAGAAAAAACTGCTCGAACCGCGGAGCAACAAGATCCAGCAGAAGTGTACGCAGCCGCTAGAAAACTGGCCGATGTCATCAAAGGCGCCAATGTCGAAGATATCATTTCCACGATCGAAACGCTTGCCCGTCAAACTGATTCGTCTGCCATTTTCAATTTCCGGGGGCTATCGTGGGGTTCGCTGCTCCACATTGCAGCAGCCACCGGCAAGAGCAACATCCTGAGGCTTCTGCTTGATCATGTCGATGCCCACCTCATAGCCGCCCAAGATGATTGGGGAAATACCCCTCTCCACATCGCCACTAAGGCCAAGGCATTAGAAGTCGCCCGTATGTTGATTCGCCGGGCAAGAGACCTCCCCAACTTCGAGGAGATCCTGATGATAAAAAACAAACATGGAAACACCGCTTTGCACGAGGCCGTGCTTTCTCGTGACGTTGGCCTAGTGAGTTTGTTGATGGAAGATTTGGAGCCCGTGTACTGGGAGAACGTGGATAGGAAATGTCCCCTGTACCTGGCCCTTGACACCGACAACTCAGAGATACTTCGGGTTTTATTTTCGCTCTCGCTCGAACCATCGAGGATACAAGGCATGCCGCCCATTCATGGTGCCATTGTGCGTTGTAACTATGGTACGTACCTAAATCCGCTTGTGGGAAATATCCATCTGTGTGTAGACTGAACTTGTCTCAAATTTGTGCAACAACTCTCTATGTTTACCCAAATCTGTTACCGGTGTTCACAGAAAATTTCAAACCTCGCTTATTAAAGTAGTTGGATACCCATAGAGCACTCGCAACTAGCTATATAATTCTCTTAATAAACAAATTAATTCCCATTAGGACATAATGCACCTGCTTAAATTTACGAGCGCAACCATTTTACTAATAACTCATGTATTGTTGATCTTCGATTAGAATAACTACAAAGGGCAAATATTTAAGATCGACAATCATTAAATTTAGGACCTAACAATGACAAAAGGAGAAAGATAGGCTTGAAATGATGATTGTTGATGGTAGTGTTCGATTACAATTGGTCTTGTTTAAGGTTCCACTAAATTATATCTTTAGTTTTGTAACTGAGTAAATTTAGTTTGGTAAATGATTTATCATATTCTGGTTTCGAATTTACTTGTCGGGTCAATCTCAAAACCATCTCAAATCCTAGTGGAGTTAAAATATGCATACTTTACTGATTAAACAACCTAAGCGATGTCGAGAAGATAAGACCAATTATGTAATTAATACATAGTAGGCTCAGCCAAAAGAAGAAGTTTTGGCTGAGCCTTTTCCTTTCCGTAATTTGCGATTTATATATAAAATGTACTTTTTTAAACCATAGAAAGAGATTCTGGTCACATCTTTTACTTAGTTTTTACTCAGAAGTTTTGGTAAATACGCAATTTCTTAGTTGAGCTTAATAGGTGCCGTAGACCTTTACGAAGAAGATACGTTCAGTCTAAAGAGGGTGGGGGAGTTTTAATGGGAATTTCGGTGCGGTGCCGTGGAGGCTATTGCAATGTTCTCGACAACAGAATAAGTTTGCTTTTATACTTGCCAAAATTTGACGAACATAATAGGAAAAGATCATTCTCCTTTTCTTGATCTTGCCCTAGCTATTTAAATGTCGTTTCCTTTTTTTCCTACACATTATATTTGCGGACTCCATAGATACTTCATAACATGGAAATGCCGTATAAATTGCCATGTCATTAAGTAAGATTTTTATAGTAGAATCTTAGTACAAGTCGATGTCGCATTGCTTCAGACGAAAATGGTCTGAAATTTGTCTAAAGTCTCTCCAAAATACATAAACGGGATCCTTTCGAAATCTATCTAAAGTCTCAGAGGTCGTGTTCCATCATGCTAGAGAAGGAATGTCATAATGCTTCGAGATTCACAGCTCGAAGAGCTATAATTTTGTGAACCGAAAATGGGTGCATTTGATCAAAATTATGACCATTAGTTTCACCAATGCAATCTAATCCCACATTAGCGACTATGAATCCTAATAGTGATTAAGGTTATGTCCAAGATGTCTTTACCCCAATATGGGTTAAAATACATCAAAACTAACCAAGCCCCAACCAGTGTAACATGTTTATGCGGATGTGGTTCCTAATTTGGAGCTTTTGATCCCAGATTTAGTTGCCAAGATACTCGAATGGAACATGAAGCTATTTGCAATGATCGACTCCAGAGGCGGTAATGTGTTCCATTTAGCAGCTTTCTTGAATAAGCGCCGAGTATTCAAATTCTTACGACCAGAAACTGAATATTTGGCCCGAGAACGGGACATGAATGGGGATCTTCCCATTCATATTGCGAGCAAGATGGGTCATGTTGCACTAATCAAGAAGCTACTTCCGGTATCACAGTTGGTAAATGCCCGAGGAGAATCCATTCTTCATGTGGCAGCAAAATACGGGAGAGCTTCAGCGGTTACATATATACTCGGACATCCAGATTTGGGGATGCTGATAAATGAAAGAGATCACGATGGAAATACACCTTCACACTTGGCAGCGAAGTATTTACAACCCTCCGCTTTGATTCATCTTCTGCTGGATGAAAGAGTTAACCCCTTCCTTCTCAACCACCAACGCTTGGCTGCTCTCGACATTGCTGTAAAAGACCGACGGAGAGGGTTACGCCCGGTAGGTAACATGAACAGTCACTATTTTATTTATCAATTTACTAGAAATTTCCATAGTCTAATACCTTAGTTAAGCGCAGATCTCGTATTCAAATCGTTATGTCTAGTAGTCAATGGAAGTATTAATCAATTTTCTAGAATAGCCGAGACTCCTTTAGGATTAATATTGCACAAGTCTCTAATTTAGCCTTCATAGGAGGTACTTAAATTTTGCCCATGAATATGTCCGCGGTTAGGAAAAAGTGAATATCTCTGACAAATGCTGAGATAAATTGTTATAAGATCAGGGGTTGTCAATGTTGCAATCTTTTTTTCTTAAAATAGCATAGTCCTTACGTTATCAGTAAGTCAACCTATGACAAAGGTGAACCCTATGCATTTCATTCATGCCTCTTTTCTCATTTGCAGTGAACTTGTTACTCTAGTGTTAATTCTTTAAACTGAGCAGACACTGCATCTTTAGAAGTAAAAGTTTCCCTCTAAATGAGTACTCCAGAGTTCGTTCCCGTTACCGCTGACAATTTGTTCTTTCTTTCCTTTTCATATGTTTCCGATCTCAGGCCTTGGTATTCACACTGTTGATGGGCGCGTCACATAAGAGATTAGATCTAATCATACTTAAGCCGGAAGCTAGAGATAAAGAGTTTCCAAGGTTGGACGCGGACGAAATTTTGCCAGCGCCTGGCCGAGTGAGGAACATAATCAATACTTTGTTGTTGGTGGCAACGCTTGTGACCACTGTGACTTTCACAGCTGGTTTCGCAATTCCCGGAGGATTGAACGGCTCAGACCCGGCCTCCAAAGATTACCGGGGCATGGCTACGATGCTGGACAATAGAATGTTCCAGGCCTTCACAATTTGCAACACCTTCGCGATGTTCTGCTCAATGACCTCGGTCGTTGGCTTCATGTTGGCGTACCTGACCGGCATCCCCTTAGCAACAGCTTCATGTCGGCTTGCAGGATTGCTACTATCAATTGCACTCCTGCCAATGTCCGCCGCTTTCTTACTTGGTGTCACCTTGACCGTTGGCAAACTCCCTTGGCTTGCCACAACGATATTAATTTTGGGATCCATTTTCTTCCTCATCATCACAGGCGCTTTATTCTCAATGTTCATTGTTCCATTATCAGGCTGCTTCATCTATTTTCGGAACCACCTTCATCCTATCCGTCCTCTGGTATACTGGTTTATTCACGCTTACATTAATATTTTTCGAGAGACGTTCATTTTGGATGACACAAAAGAGGACAGAACGGCGAGGAAGACCTCTGCTAGTCCGCCTCTGGATGGTGGCCGTGAAGATTGATTTGCAGAAACAGATACATATTTGCCTTGGTGGATTTGGCTAATTCTATACTTGCTTTCCTATTGTATTACATTAAAAAAGACTGTTAAAAGTATTTAAGTTCAACCATCTCTTCCTTTAATAGCTCATATTATTAGAATAGTTATATGTAGTTCCATAATATTTCACATGGTATGTATTCTCATATTTTAGACTTGGAGTAAAGTCCGGCCTACTCGCAAAGAGGAGTATTAAAGTATTCAAACTAAACTATGCTTTGGGCTAAATAGTTTAAGTTTTCAAAACAATTGCGTTGCAATTTAACGAAACATCACAATGATTCATGCGTCATGCGACACGCTTTGTTAGTTGAATGAATGAGTGGGTCATTTCGTCCGTTTCACTGCTTGGAAATCAAATCTTTAGTTTTCAACATGTATAAGCTCGCCTCTTATGAAATCGCTTGTCTAGACTGGCCAAGGACAATTTACCCCGGACCAGTCCAATTTCCTTTTCTACAGGCGTGGTGTGGCTCTCGATTTGGAAGCTTGACGCCCTCCATGGCAGCACTAGTGTTTTCTTCCCTTTTTTTTTTCAAAAAATATTCAATTTCTTTTTCTCCCAAACAAATATCAGATTTTATATAATTATCTTTTGTTTCTCCACTTATGTTTTAAGCTTCAAATTGTACTTTGGTGCTTTTACATTTTGAAACCAACCAACTATTGTATATTTTTCTTTGATTTTTTTTTAGAATATTACTTAATGAAATCCAAATTTAAATGATTTATTCTATCGTTCTAAATTTATTTATTATATGAAAATTTAATTTAGGGCGAGAAATTTGAATTATAAGATGTTATTGTCAAATGATACAATTTGTACCAACAATATCTATCTTATTTAATATGCATTTCATTATTGTGGTGTATAGAGAAGATGTCATGCACACACTTTACTTCCCAAAACCCTACTAATAATGCTATTCACGTATATATGAAGTTTTAAATTCTAAATATTATTTTGTCGATAGGCTCTTACTTTGGCAGAATTGGTTTTTCTTGATCGGCTTAGTTTTTCCTTACTAAATAATTTCATTTTTTAAAACTAAGATAAAAAGAAATTAAGTCTGCTAAAGACATTAGTTTTTCTTGATCAAATTGTTGATAAACAGTTAACTTCTTTTAAAAAATAGTTCATTTTGTTTTTTTCTCGACTCATAAAAGTTTCTTTTTTTCATGCGAGCATATCTTTCTATCTAACTTTATAAACAATCATTCATCTTTCATTGTAATCAAATCAATATTCAAGAGTTTCTTTCACTGAACTAGGTGTTTTTTTTAAGCACCAAATCTTGGTTCTTAGATTAAGTCACAATTAATCGGCTAGCGCTTTATGAGTTAATAAATGGTAGAATAGATAGAAGTATGAAGCCGTGAGATGAGAGCCATAAAAGTGATAGTAGATTACTTATTAGGATTTGGCAGACAATCACAAGGAAATAGAGAATTAAAGTGAGAAAGAGAATTTGAGACACAAGGTTTTATCCTGATTCACCCTTAAACTAGGGTTACATTTAGCATGTGATTTCACTATAATTAGCACCTTACACCTTTCTGTTACATTTCTCAATTACAAGAAAAAGATATTATATATACCCAATAGCTATTCATGGACCCGAGCCCAAACTACTATGCATTCTTGTCGATGGGGAGTATGAACCAGTCCTCAACATTACTTTCTCGCAGTTGAATCAATCTAACCAAAGCTTCTTCTTTTTTCCCAGGCCCGTTTTCATGTTCTATTAGCATAGTTAAATTCGAATAGGATGACTTAGCTGATTGACCTGATAATATGAGTCGGATCCGACTCACGTTCTAAATTATGAAGAGATAGACGTGGACGACAGGGTGTCGTACGTGGAAAGACCAGTGAGAATTGAGGATCGAAAGGAGCAGGTACTACGAAACAAGACTATTCCTCTAGTCAAGGTTGTGTGGCAACATCATGGAACCGAGGGAGCCACGTGGGAAAGTGAAGAGATAATGAGGCGTCAATACCCCTTTCTTTTTGAGGAATTAGATGTAAATTCAAATTTCAAGGACGAAATTTTTATAAAGAGGGAAGAATTGTGATATCCTGAAAATTCGACCAAATTTGGTGATTTATGAAATGATGATTTCATCGACGCTCTATTAGTTAATTCTTGCTCTGGCCTGATCACCCAGGGAATACTAACCAAAGGGGAAAGGCTATCGAAGAATTTATTTCTAGCAGCCGCCCGTTAGTTCGAGATAAATTATAATTGTGATTGATCGATTTCAGCCACGAAGTATGATCCGATTTTGCGTATCGAGTGCTCAAGGATATCACACCTGAACTATAGGACGTCGCCTCATAATTTTTACGAATTGGCCATTGAAAATTATTTGCTAACTTGCCCTTTTAGAAACCTCTTTGTTAGATTAAATCTTGGCCGTTGGATGAAACTTGGAGAGCAAGGCTTGATCTTGGCCGTTGGATGGAACTTGGACTTTGAGGCCCCCTTTATAATGACTTGCATTAATTAGTTGGATTTTGGAGGCACCACCATCATGACATGCATTAATGGCCATAGGACTTTAGGGGCATCTCATCATGTTATTTTGTCCATTGTCCATTAATGCAAAGATTTCCAAGATCAAGTTATTAATGGCATTTCATGATGATATTTTGGTTCTTATTCATTAATGCAAAGATTTTCAAGATCATTTCATTAATGGCCAAGATTTTCAAGATCATTTCATCATGACTTTTGACTCATATTCATTAATGGCTAAAATTTTAAGAAGATTTGGTAATGATGGCCAAATCTAGCCATTAATAAAGGAAAATTTGGTAATGATGACAAAATCTAGGAAGATTTGGTAATAATGCTATTTTGTCTCTTCTTTGCTTGGGCTATTATAAATAGAGAGAGAGAGAGAGAGAGTTCTCACGCCACTCTCTCCTCATCCTCACGCCACCACCCTTGAGCCCCGTGGATCGCCGTGTGCCATTCACCGCCGTTTGCCGCTTGTCGTGTCAAGCCGAGGCCACCACGGACAACTCGTGTCGTTGCTGTCGTCCTCGCGTTGTCGTCGTTTTTAGACGAGTAAGTTAACATCTAATCCCTTGTTTAGGATGTTTAACTTGCGTAGGGTAGTTTAGCTAGTTATTGTTTTAGTGTGTTTGAACTTCTAGAATGAGCGTTGGTGAGTCTTGATTGCTGGATTAAGTTGAAATAGATGTTGGATGTGATTTGAACTCTTGGTGTGGTATTTTCATGACTGAGAAGTGGTGGATCTCAAAGTTGAAGGCGTTTCTTGGAGTTTTTGTCTTGAATTCAAAACTAATTTTACTGTACGTCTCTATTTTTCCATTTTTATAGAGCCTTTTGTGGTTATAATCTTAAAAAGCGTCCTTCATCAAAGTCGTTCACAAGATCTTGATCTATACATACTTAAATTTCAGATTTTTCTGAGCTCAAATGGGTTACACAAAGGTCCAATTTCTTACCGAATCAGAACTGTTTTATACTGTGGATTCCACGACCTTTGTGCCTTCTCAGATTTTTATAAAAATTTCCAGTTCGATTTCGACCATACTTCCTTCACAATATTTGTAAACAAAATCCATGTCTACAACGTATAAAAATTTCAAAGTGTTTTCAAAGGATTTGGATTGTAAAACGAGTATTTCTTGTGGTTCAGTTCCCCTGTTCCGGCGGACCAGTTCTGGGTTGTTTCCGAGCCATCAAAAGTGATCTTTGTATAAGGTTTTTGGGATTGTGTTCTTCATGGAAAATATTTGTGAAGGTCTTTTTTATACCATATTCGAATTTTATAATTTTTGGAAACCATTTGCTATGCTTTTGAAGTTGATTTCCCAAATCATGCAAATCTGTCCAGTTTTACTAGAATTCCATAATCTGCCGGTCTTTACTTGAAATCTTAGGCTTTCGATTTCCGGCCTAATAGAGACAGTAACCACAATTACCTAGCTTTTCAATAATGTTTATTTGGCTGTGATCCGATGTTGAATGCTTTTGTAAATTCATATTTTAAAATGAGGTTCACAAAGTTGATTGACCGTTTGCATGTGTGACCACTTGTTATTGTTGTGTGGCATTGATGTGAGCATGATTCATGGATGCATTGGCTAAATGAAAAGAAAAGAATTGGCCTGAATGCTTGTGTGCTCGTGTGGTCACACGTTGGAGCCGTCTTGCTGTAGATCGCTTGACGATGCCTGATTTATCGGGGTCTTGCTGTAGATCGCTTGACAATACTTGATTTATCGGATATCTGGAGATTATCTGGACTGCCGATACTCCGGATGCCGGATCGCGGCCCGAGGGTAGATCCGATGCTCCTTACGGGATATCATCTTACTGTGTATCATTTGATGCTACCGTATTGGAATGCCGTCATCTTGTGTATCGTTTGACGTTGTCGTGCCCGACGGGGCGGGACAATGCCCGGTTATGCCGGAAGACTGCCATCTCGTTGCGTATCGCTTGATGTGTAGTGGTTAAGAGGGGTCGTAACAAATAGAATACGTGTGATGCATAGTGCTTGATTATGGGGTAGAAACTGCTAGGCAGTGTATGAGACGTGCCCAAGTGGATTTTGCCTTATAATCGAGACACGCGCGACTGTGATTCATTAATGCATGGGAAATCTCATTACACGTTCTGAGTATGTGATATGTTTGATGCATCGCTGTGACATATGACTATCTATGTTATGCATAATATGTGTGCCAAGGCAAGGTAAGGATGCCTGTGATTGGTTAATGATTTGTGTCCAGTGCATGGTCGCATGATTAGGGACCCTCGAGGTGAGTTGGCCTTCTAAACGGGGCTTAGGCGTTAACTTATTGAGATTTTTATCTCATTTGTAGTTGTTAAACATTTTTCAGGCCCTTAGCATGTTGATGCACCCAGTATGGTTCGGGGTGCCTGGAAGCTGACTTTTGGTGAAGTAGATTGACCCCAGCTTGACATCTTTTTGTAGACTTTTATGGAAATGCCCGAAATGGGCTTGTAAAAAAATGTTCCCAGGGGTTAATCAAGTAAATGTTAAAATGGTGTTTTGATTTCAATGTTGTGAACCGTTTTCCTATCTATCCTTGTTTATTGTTATTGTCTGGGTGAATCTTTGTTTAGCTTTCGCATGCGTAATCAAAAGATAAAATGTTGGGTCGGCGACGCATCCTAGAACGTTGCATCATAATGACCATTGCAGGATATTGCGCGCTCGCAGAGTTCGGGGCGTGACATTTGCGCACCTGCATGAACACCTCACATGTTAATAATTAGGTAATAAAATGGACCCAGACTGCCTGCATAAATATTTTTGAAAAGAAAAGGTACCAAAAGGGCGTTAGACTAGATCTAGCGTAACCAAGCCCCCGAGCTTAGAATCACTGGTTCGTAGGAATAAAACATATCTCTCTATGTTTTATTTAGGTTTCTAATCGACCTATCACAAATAGATTAGTGGCGACTCCAAGCATGAAAATTTTTGTATGTTAAAAAACTTAAACTCTAAGTTGCGAATTGGTAGGGCTTGGGAGGGCCCGAGTTAGGCTTAGTCTTAATAATCCATTAGCCTAAGAAATTTTAGGTTGCGACATTCAGATAGAGATAAAATTAATCTTAGATTTCTATCCTTAAACTTCTCCATCATGTTACAACAGTCTTTAACATGCATTTGCATTGCAAATTTAACAATCTTTTTGGATGATTTTTCGACTATCTATGTCGATTACATAATTATGTCGTGATTCAGTCCAATCATGCACAATAGCTATGACTAGAACTATTGGGCAGTTTTAGTTTTCTCACATTTATTTGAATCTAAGTTACCGCTATTGCACATGATTTAAACTTCAATAATATTCTTACATGACATTTTTGGCTTGCCGATTATGGAAGTATTACTATGTTGTAAAGTAATTCAATTACGCTGGAAAAAAAAGTTACTCAATTACATGAAAAAAGTATGGATCGATGTTCGACACAAAAGGAGTTGTGGACCGAAACCACATAACATTAGATTGGATTAGCAAAATCTAAATCTCAAGAGATTGATAGCATAACTGCGGTGAATATCAAACTTATGGGCCGTGAATAAAATTTCTCCGCGTTAAAAACGATCTTCATTTTCTCGTTGCCCCCACTGGGAAAATCTCCGAGTTCCACCAATAGAAAAAAACATGATTATCCGAATCGCATGACCGCTAGAGCACCTTGATCTTCTAGTTTGAGGGGAGAACGGGTGCTGACCGATTAGCCAATGCAGCATTCTTTGAAGGACCAGACTTTGTTATTCACTTGAGTTTAACCATGAGGCTTCAATTTCTGTTTTTAGGAGAGTGGGTGTTAGGGAGGCCGAGAGTTTGCATATGAGATGTGGCCTGCGTTCGCTGCCGCACCGCCACTGTCTCCAAGCTCCCTGCACACTTACCGCCACGCAGCTCCGTCTCTCTCAAAGAGACCTTTTTGAGGGAGAACATTTAATTTACCCTTCGATTCTTTTTTTTTTGGGTGGATTTTTGGTCCGAGCATTTATAGTCTTCTATTTGTTTAAAGTGGAACACTTTATCGATCTGTTTGCAGTGTAGGTACATCCAGTCGAACCACCTAGCAAATCCATGGCGTATTATTAATATCTTGCACTTAATTCTCACAGCAAATCATTTATATCCGCAATCTTGTGCAACAACTTTTAAACTCAAAACTTTATGTTTGGATTCATATAAACTTTTGTAGGGCCACTATTAAATATTATGAAAGTTTAAATGCTTTACACAACTCTTACACAACCCTTACTTGATATAGCTGTCTCCTTAAGCAACCCTTGTTCCCTGCAATAGCTCCATTACTTGCGTAGCTTAGGCTAGATGGACGTAAAGCTACCTATAGGGGAAGAGGACGCCGGCATGAGCAACCCGATCAAGGAGGAGGTCAAGAAGGATGAAATGGATCTTTTGAAGGAAGAAGATATCTGGATGAGTCGATGGGAGAGAATGAATAATGCTCTGGCGGCTGCAAGAACCGCGGAGCAACAAGAACCAGAAAATTTGTATGTAGCTGCTAGCGGACTGGTGAATGTTATCAAAGGCGCCGATGTGGAAAAGTTCATTTCCGAGATTGAAAGTCTTGCCCCTCTAACAGATCTGTCTGCCACTTTCAATTTCCAGGGGCTATCGAGGGGTTCACTACTCCACATTGCAGCCGGGATAGGCAAGGACGACATCCTAAGGCTCCTACTTGATTATGTAGATGATTGGGGAGATACCCCTCTCCACATGACCGCTAAGGCCGGGGCATCTGGAGCTGCCGCAATGTTGATTCGTCGGGCAAGAGACCTCCCCAACTTGGTGGACAAGAACCTGATCCTGAGGATGAAGAACAAACAAGGAAACACTGCTTTGCACGAGTCCGTGCTTAATTGTGACATCAAAATGGTGCGCCTTTTGTTGAACGAAGATATGGAGCCCGTGCACTTGAAGAACGCGGATGAGGAATCTCCTTTGTACCTAGCCACCAATACCAAGAACCCAGAGATACACGAGGTTTTATTTTCTCCCTCGCTTGAACCATCCAAGATACAAGGCTTGGCGCCGATTCATGGTGCCGCTGTGCATGATAACTGTGGTACGTACCTAAATATGCTTATTGGAAATATCTATGTCTAGATTGATCTGTGCAACCACTTTTTGCGCTTACTCAAATCCATTTCATATTTTTTTACCTAAAATTCCAAACCCCACCCACTTACTAAAGTAGGTGGATATCCATCGGGTACTTGCAACCAGCCATACAATTCTTTTGGTAAACAAATTATCTCACATTAGCACATAATATTTCAGCTTAAATATACAAACAGAATCAATATTCTAAACCTCGTGTACAGTTGATCTTCGATTGAAGAATTACAAAGTGCAAATATTAAAGATCGACTATCATAAAAATCTAGAATTTAACAATGACAAAAGGAGAAATATGCATTTGAAGCGATGATTGTTGATGCTAATTTACCGCAAAAGTTAATTTTGTCGCTAATTCCGTTGCTAATTTGCGACGAATATTAATCCGTCGCTAATTTGCCACGGAATTAGCGACAAATTAAAATCTGTCCCTAAATTGCTGCGAAAGTTAATTTCGTAGCTAATTTACCGCGAAAATTAATTCCGTCGCTAATTTGCGACGAATATTAATCCGTCGCTAATTTGCCACGGATTTTAATTCGTCGCTAATTTACTGCGGAAGTTAATTTCGTCACTAATTCCGTGGCAAATTAGCGACGAAATGAAATTTGTTGCAAATTAGCGACGGATTTAGCGACGAAATTAACTTTTGTGGCACTTTCGCGACTATTTTTATAGTTCATTGCTAATTTTGTCGCAAATTAGCGACGAATTAAAATCCGTCGCAAATTAGCAACGAATTTGAATCCGTCGCAAATTAGCGACAAAAAGAACTTTCGCAGCACATTCCCGACTATTTTATTTTTGTCGCTAATTCTGTCGCTAATTAGCGATGGATTCAAATTCATCGCTAATTTGCGATGGAATTAGCAACGAAAATAACTTTGGCGCGAACGCGACTATTTTTATAGTTCATTGCTAATTCCGTTACTAATTAGCGACGAAAATAAACTTTCACCGCACATTCGCAATTATTTTTATAGTTCGTCGTTAATTAGTGACGAATTCAAATTCGTCGCTAATTAGCGATGGAATTAGTGATGAAAATAAACTTTCGCGGCACATTCACGACTATTTTTATAGTTCGTCGCTAATTTCGCCGCAAATTAGCGACGGATTTGAATTCGTTGCTAATTAGCGACAAAAATAAACTTTCACGACTATTTTTATAGTTCGTCGTTAATTTCGTCGCAAATTAGCGACGAATTCAAATCCATCGCTAATTTGCGGTGAAAATAAACTTTTCGCGGCACATTCGCGACTATTTTTATAGTTCGTCGCTAATTAGCGACGAATTCATATCCGTCACTAATTTGCGATGAAAGATAATTCGTCGCTAATTTGCCGCGACTATTTTTATAGTTCGTTGCTAATTTGTGAAACGGTGTCGTCTTGACTTGGGGGTACAATTACGATTCGGCTCTCTCTCGGCTCTCTCTCTCTCGATTGATTCTTCAAACAGAGGAAAAAAAATTAGGGCTCTCTCTCTCTCTCTCTCTCTCTCTCTCTCTCTCTCTCTCTCTCGATTCTCGACGGCTTCCTCCGACGAGTGTTTCTTCAGATTTGGCGTTCTTCAGTGCGATTTTTTCTTAGAGAGAGGAACCCCTTCGGCAGACGCTGGGAAGATCGTGCTAACCGTCATCCGAGAGGAACCTCAAGCGCAAGGACCGTCGTCTGAGAGTTTCTAATTTGAGGAGGATTGTCGTCCGAAAGTTTTAGAGGAGGTACGTTAGCGTGAATTTTTTTCACTTTTTGTCTCTGGCGAGCGCTTTTTCGAATTGTTCGATTTTGAATTCTATGGGACGTTTGTTTGCTGCTGCTTCTTTTATATTGGATTTCTGCTGCTTCTTTTTGTTCGGATTGGGTCTGCTGTTCGGTTTCGGATTCTGTAGGGCGGAGATTGTTCGGTTTCGGATTCTGTGGGACGTTTGTTTGTTGCTGCTTCTTTTATATTAGATTGGGTATGCTGCTTCTTTCTGTTTTTATATTGGATTCGACTTATCTCGGGTTGAATGGATTGGGTCTGATTGGATTTCATATTAGATTGGGTCTATTTTTATATTAGATTGTTCGGTTTCAAATTGGGTCTGTTTTAAGCCAAGTACCTAATTGATGCACTTAGATTGGCGAACTCGAAATGGGCTGAAATTTGGTCGGCTGTGTGGAAACGGGCCGCTGATCAATACACATAGCTACGCTATGAAGGACGTCGTTTTTTTGCATTTCGGAGTCATTTAGACAGGTTTTCGAGCAGAAACACATTGTGTTTCATAGATTTTTAGTCCGGTTTAAATATTGTGTGAAATATACATGATACACATTGTGTTTCACATGGAACTGCTTTCTAATATTCATTAACAGATTTTGGAACAGAGGGTTCTAGTTCTTGATTGCCAAATATGCTCCCCTTTTATTTATATCTAGGTTTGAAAATATCCTAGTTTGATCATGTCATGTAATATGCTCCCCATAATTCATTCTCCTATTTTCTTCTTAGATAATAATCACCAGAAAGTGCTTCACTTCACTAGCTTTTTGAATTTTTGTAGACAGAAGTAACAACTGTTATTTGTGGCAAAAAAGAGCTAAAGAAGCTCGTAGACATTTCCGGACAGCTTGCTATTTATCAGAGGCAATAGCAAGTTTGTTTCGTTTTCTCAAGTTTATCTCTTGCACTTTGAAACAAAATGGTAAGCTTCATGATGTACGTCATTATGTGTCCCTAATACATGTTCATGTTTTTAAAGATATTTGTCTAACCTTCCTACTTGTCAGTATAAACATGAAGGTCACATGCATGGTATAGTTTCACAAAGAAGAGCAGCCCCTTCCCCTTCCTCGTCCCCGTCCCTTTCCTATTCCCTTGCCCTTTCATGTTTCCCTCAACCACTACATGCTGATGAACAACATGGACACATTGACCCTTCCTCCGACCCTCAAGAACATATTAGGGGACAATTTGGATACATGCGAACTGAATCTACTTTAGGTCCATGTCCTTTAGTTCCATCTCCTTCGGTTCCACCTTCTTCTTCGGTGCAACGCTCGAATGATGAGGGAAACATAGATGAAGAAGATAACCGATTCATGATATGCCCATATGGAGATTCGTAAGTACTTTATTTTTTTAAGTATATATAATATTTAGGGTTTTAGATATGGATGTCAACTGAATTATCCATGTTGCAAATTATCCGTATGCTTCATTGTTTCATTGTCCATATCGTTCTTTCTAACCTGTTTGCAGATTCACGGATGCTGCGTATGTTGTGAGGCAACTTAATAAAATAGTCAATAACTCTTGGAAGGGGTAGTATATTAGTTATAGCAACGCTCCAAAAAAAGTAAAGGATTTGTGGTGGAATGAGTTTAAGGTAAGTTTTGTTCTTCTAGGTGTTTCTAGTGGCCGTGTTACGGATCAGATCATACCCTCTTATTGGTACTTTTAAGTTTGGAATTGTGTCCAGTGTCTCACCGATATCCATTTTTTGGATTCGATCTCGCCATTATTGGTACTTTAAGTTTCTTCTAAATATGTTCCCGCAGTTTTTTGGCCATGACCAAACTGAGTCAGTCACAGCGTGATGGATAGTCCAAAAGCCATCCTAAAAGGTTTTAAGTTTGGGGGTAATGGAAGCCCAAAGGGAAAATATGCTAACTCAACAAAGATTCTAAATTATCCTCACTTTAAGTGACTAAGTTTTTTTTTCTTTTTTTGTGCTTGTTTTATAACGTTTTTGCACTTTTATGACAAAAATGAACCTATTTACTATTAAAAATCATGAATAATTCTAAAATGAACCTATAACAAAGTGTGTATATTTAGGACAATTAATGATAAGGAAATTGTTTTTCGAGAGACTATTAAAAACATTGGCTGGTTACTCTTGTGTATTTGTTGCGAATGACTTTCAATAGCAATAGTATGGCCTCTTTTTCTTTTTCCTTTTTTAATCTGATGTCTATGTTTCAATTGTTTTCATATGTAAAGTAAAAGAGCTGGTTACCCCTGTGTTACGAAATGTAGTCTGGGTACTATTGTTAAATTGCTCCCTACTTAGGCCTCCAAGTTCTTAGAATGTAGATGGCTTCATTATTTTGGCATGTTTACATTCTCACTTGTGTAACAGATATTGTTTCTTCTAAATATGTTACTGCATTTTCACCAGAGTTCTTAAATATGCCTCTGGTTACAACTTCGTCGGTTTGAAAAGGTGTGTGTACATCTGAAGAGTTGCTCTAATATCATGTCAATGGATATATATAAAGGGTGGAAGAACTCATTCCGAAAAGTCGGCTTGCCAAGAGAGGGAATGCAAACGCTTATACAACTCTTTAGTTGTCATAAGTGGGAAGTCCCACATCAAGTAGTAATGGATATGAACTTTCGAAAATCCATTGCCGAATTTTTTGGTGCATTGTAATGTATATGTGACCCTCATAATAACTTTTAGTTGTTTTTCTATTGATGCAGCGGAAGTTCAGGTGGGATGAAACGGAAGAGGTTGAAGTTGAAAGAATTTTTAAGAAGAAAGCCGGTGATCACATACGAAATGTGATGAATAAAGCAAAGATAAGTCAACTAAAGCCAAATTTTATTATGGGTGACAATTGGACGGAAATCAAGAGAACTTGGGAAACTGAAAAGAATTGTCTGGTGCATGGTAATGGATATGTGAGCCTCATAATAACTTTTAGTTGTTTTTCTATTGACGTAGCGGAAGTTCAGGTGGGATGAAACGAAAGATGATGAAGTTAAAAGAATTTTTAAAAAGAAAGCCGGTGATCACATACGAAATGTGATGAATAAAGCAAAGATAAGTCAACTAAAGCCAGATTTTATTACAGGTAACAATTGGACGGAAATCAAGAGAACTTGGAAAACTAAAAAGAATAAGCAAATGAGTGACTAGAATAAGAAGAATCGAGCTTCTAGTTCTAGTGAAGGGTCTGCCACATATGCTGGGGGCTCTATCAACATTGGGGAGCATAGAAAAAAAATGGTAAGTCTATTAAACATGTTGTAAGTTAATTTAATTCAATTACTTATTTATGTTCATATTTTGTAGCCAGATGAATTGGGGACAGAACCAACATATATAGCTACATTTGAACGCACATTTCAAAAAAAAGATAAGACACAGACTGGCGATCAAGCAAAAGCTATTAAGGTATGTAAGGTTATACTTGAAGGTATGTAAGTTTATGGAAACTAGAATGAAAATCATGAATGCTTTTAATATTTATGGTAGTTATATATATGAAGTTATTTTATTTTCATCTATATTGTTAATGCAGAAAAAATATGATGAACCTTTAATGAGTATTGCTAGTGGTAGTGGTGGTGATGGTGTTGCTGCGTTTGAGCTATCAGTTGACAGTATGGCATTATGGGTAGAGGCATCGGGTGGGATGAAAAGAGGAAAAATATTTGGGATGGGATCCTTGTTAAGGGTATACACAATGCAAGCTGCTGCAACTTCATCCTCCAATGCGGCTGTTGCAAGGAGGACACGACTTGAGGAGCAAATGACCCAATAATTGAGCCAACTGAAACATTTACTTGTAGAGAAGGACGAAGAAATAAGAGTGGTCAAACAACAAATGCAATTGATCTTGCGACACCTTAACCTCGATCACGATGAGGTTCCTTCTGTATCTCCGACTAATTCAATAGGTGATGGGCACAATGATGAGCGACATGATGATGATGACATTGTTGATGATGATGATGATTTTGTCAGTTCTTGCTAATTAAAATTTCCATTTTCATATCATTATAATTTTTTTAGGCACTAAACTTTGAGCACTACATATTTCATCATCATATCATTATGTATTTAAGCACTAAATTTTGATGTTATTAAGTGCTTAATCAATGTTAAATATAAATTCTAGAAAATAATTTTGCTGTTAATTATATTTAAAATCGAAATCGTCCCTAAACAACATTCGCCGTTGACTTCATAGCTAAAGAATTAATAAAAATTCGTCGCTAAATTCGTTCCGAAACAATGTTAGTGGCAAAAGTAAAAAATTTTCGTGGCAAATTAGCGATGAATTTTGCCACGAATAAGTTCGTCGCAAATTACTAACCCAAAAAAAAAAAATTTCGTGGCAAATTAGCGACGAATTTTGCTACGAAAAATTAGCGATGAATTGTGCAACGAATAATTAGCGACGAATTTTGCCACGGATACAGTTCATGGCTAATTAGCGACGAATTTTGCCATGAATATTTTTCGTCGCAATTTAATGACGAAAATTGAAATTTTTTGTCGCTAAATTTTGCGACGCCAAATTGGCGATGAAATTTTTTTCGTCGCAAATTCGTTTAGCGATGAATTTTTTCATTTTTTTGTGATAAAATTCGTCGCTAAAACCTACTTTTTTTTAGTGCAGCGAAAGTGACAAAGACGGTTTCGTAAAATTGAAAAAATTGAAAAATTAGAGAGAAAAGGGGAGGGAAACTGTAATTGCGGCGGTTGGGTGGGCACCCAGGCACAGCAAGATTCCAGCGTCTGTTGTCCGGCTTAGGAAGAGAGAGAGAGAGAGAGAGCTTGGGCAAGGGCCAGCCTCCAGACAGTTTTGGGTGACGGTGGAGACCCTTATCGCATTCCACATCGGCAACTGCGGCCGCCCTCGCAGATGTCACAACCCTTGCCTAGACGCTTAGACACCATTCACAGAAACAAATGCACGAGTGAATATATATAGCGAACATCGCGTTGCTGTTGGGATTATGCTGCTACAGTTTGGCCCAGAACATCACATTGCTTTAATTTATGAACTGGGGCCTTTTTTCAAATATCAACTTTCATTAAACAACCAATATTAAATCATCATTTTGACTTACCGTGATTTGGCAAGCAACAGCAATGAGCACCTACAATTTTCATGTGGTTTTGTTATTAGATCTATCAGATTGGTGTTGGAGTTGGCGAATACTTCGGGGACCCTTGTTTCTCACACCGGGTACGCCCACGTGAGCTTAGGGAAACTGAAGTGTTGTCCGACGACATGTGACCCATGCGTGCGGAATGCGGGGGTTCGGGGGCAGCGCCCCCGACACGGGTGCCCCGCTGCCCGGTCAGCGGGCGGGGGTTCGGGGGCAGCGCCCCCCGACGGGGGTTCCGCTGCCCGGTCAGCGGACGGCTGCCCCGCTCGCCGGTGAGCGGGCGGGGGCTCGGGGGCAGCGCCCCCGAAACCTCAACGGGTTTGGGCTGGCCCGTATAGTGCGAGATTAAGAGATTTCATATAGGTTTAGGTTTTGGGCCCGTTTGGGGCATATATATATTTTGCTCGTTTTTCTGATCATTGTAACGAGTTGAGTGGCTGTAAACCGAAAACATAGTGAAATCTCTTTGCAGGACGTAGCCCTAATCGAGGGTGAACCTGGGTAAATTCGTGCATCGTCTATTTTCTCTGTTTTCTGCGTGATCGTTCTGTTTCGGTTCTCGATACGTCCCTTCAATTGGGACGGGAGAGGACATTGGCGAGCGTGAGGAGATTGCTGATGCCCTCGACGGCGAGGACCGGCGTCGGCAAATGGCCGAGGAAGGAAGTGCGCCTCAGTGGACAGCGTGAAAAGGGTGCGAGATATCGTGAGGTCGCACAAGATCGGGGCCTTCTTTTTCCGCACCATAAAGACTTACTATTGTGAAAAAATATGTTGGTAGGAAAAGGAATCGGAATGTAGTCGGACTATGAGGCGTGTAATCACTCTCTTTTATGATCAATTTGCCCCACGAAGTTGCTATAGATTACTGGCAAATTCCCTTCAGGATACAATAAAGTCACAGCGAGAATACTGAATAGCAATTCAGTAAATCTCCTAAAACTTTCTGCGAAACGATTGAGAAAATGGATTTTTCATTTTTTCTCTTAAAGAAGACGAAAATGAAGGGAGCTCTGTTCTTCTTTCAATCGAACAGAATTGTCCAATATATATAAGCAAACAGAACACACCTCTTGATGTCTAACTACCAATATGGACACACCTATTCATGTCCGAAAAGTTGCAATTCAAACATAACCTTTTGTGTGCGAAAACCGCCATTCGAATACAATCGTTCGTATCCAAAAAGTTGCAATTCGGACACAACTTTTCAAGCATGAAAAATGTAAATTTTGGACACACCTTTTCATGTCCCAAAATGGACAGTTTTGTTCGAACAGACACAACCTTCCAAAGGTTGTAAGAGAGCCTAATTACCGTTAGGCAAAAAATAAAAATTCGAAATTAAATTATTAAAAAATAACCGCAACTCTATTGTGAACAGTCACACAACTTCAATATATAGAACAAAACATTTATTTTATAATAATAAATTTGAAATTTAATAAAATAAATAAAATAAAAATAGATTGTTGATTAAGACTTATTTTGGTCTGTGGTGCACGTTAAAATCACGCACCCGCATGCGGGTATTATGGGGTCTAGCTTATTCACCCATTTTCTCCATTTATATTAAAGGATAATACCTTAACTTATAAATAAATCAAAACTTTCATTTCTTTCCTACGTGAGACAAGGAAATAGCCTTTTTTGTTTGTTTTACAAACAAACACCAACACTTACTCAAGCTGCGTTGCTTCCTCGCGTGAGTATGTTTGTCTCAGCCAAGGATTGGCAGCGGCTGCTCCGCCTAAACCAGACTAGGGACGTTGGAGCCTTGCCAGTGGCTGCGTGGCGCTGCCATCACCACCGCAGTCTCCCCTTCCCCTTCACGAGGATGCGAAGCTCCCGAGCTGGCTGGTGGGGAGGCTGATGAAGGGGTGAAGACGGCGACAGAGGTGATGCAGAGCGAAGAAGATGGAGGAGTGAGGGCGTAGGTCGAAAAGGAAGATGAAGGAAAAGAAAATGAAAAGAAAAGGAGAGAAAAGAAGAAAGAAAAGAAGAAAGAATGAAAAAATGAATTTGGACAAAAATGCCTCTGTTATTGAAGTATTGAAACTTTCTATCTCAATGATTCCAAAAGCACGAGTGTATTGAAAAAGTTGGTACACGATGGTGCCTCTCGTCTTCGTGTATGTGAGTCATCAGCTATGAGATTCATATTATGCGAGCAATGTGATTAGTTGGGTAATCACATTAATTGTGTGATTGACACATAACATACTTTCTCATAATTGGGGCTCACAAACCCGCAAAAACTGATCGTTCGATACACGATATTGAGCTTTTGAGGTTGCCAAGTAGCGTTCTAGCAAAACATAAATTAAATTACGGATAGATTTGTCAATAATTACTAAACTTTGATATGTGATAATAATTGGTAGGAAGGATGATTCTAGTAACTATTGAAAAGCTAGTGGAATATGTGAATAGCTGGTTTTAAAGTTGCACTCGAGTTGTGTCGTACCAAAGTAAATTCTTACTGGTGGCGATCAAAGTTGAACAGTATGATGGCGGTGGAGCAACCAAAAAGTTAACCACATTCGTAGCTTCATATTTACCAAAGCTAGCTCCAAAAGGACTAATTGAATCTGTAAGCCTCTTTGCTTGTATGGTAGGCAACCTAGATCCTTTGGAGACAGGTTAAAGCAGATAATAGGATCAGTTAAAGGGACTCAAAGCAAAAAAGAAACCATGTACGAGGATTTATTGAGCAACAAGTTTAGCCCTTTAATGCAATATAAAATGGCTGCTTTGTTTCGTCTTTCGTGGGCCAAACAAGTTTGTCTGCCTTCGGTATCGCCTCTAGATCTTGGAGAAAGACGTTTTAACATTGGAAGGTATGTCTTTTTCAAAATGATTAATATTTCCTTTCCTTTTTCTTTTTGCTAATTGTCTAATATTTCCTTTGCTAATTCTAATTGTCTTCAATGTTGATGCTCGATCACACACTTTTTAATGTATTATTTCTTAATTGGTTCACTTTACTCAATGATGTCATTAGTATATCAATAGTATATTCTTGTTTCCTACTGCATTTGGACTACCATTCTTTCTCAAGTTAGCTCAAAGTGTCCTTTCTTGTCACTCCTTTTTGCCTCCGCACCCCACTGGTTGACCGTGGTAATTTTAGTTTGCACTTCGCACGACATCGCCCATGATCGGCTATATATGCATTCTCCAGCCGAAAAAGTCGATTCTCGGAGCAACCAATCTCCGGCCCAACGAAACAGGACAAAATAAAGGACCTGCTAAACACGCGCCTAGTGGTGATGGCAACACCAGTGACCACCATGGCCGGGCAGCTCCTCTCTTTCACGAAGAGACTTTTTTTTAGGGCGAACCTATAATTTACGCTTTGATTCATTTTTTTGAGGATTTTTTGTATGCAAGCACTCATTATTTTGCACATTTAAAGTGGAACACCTTATCGATCTCTTTTTGTAGAGTAGGTACCTCCGGCCGAACCACCACGCAAACCCATGGTGTCTTATTAATTTCTTGCACTTAAATGCTCATAACGAATCTTTTGTATTTGTTCACGCTTCCGTGATTTTGTGCAACAATTTTAAAATTAGAAAACTTCATGTTCGGATCCATATAAAATTTTGTAGGACCATAATAACTATTATAAAAGCTTAAATGCGTTGCTTCGTATTTAGTTTTATATTTCGGTCTTCTTACACAACCTTTGTTCCTTTGCAATAACTACATTACTTGCATAGCTTGGGCTCGATGGACGTAAAGCTATCTATAGGAGAGGAGGAGGTTGGGATGGACGCCTCGATCCAGGAGTTGGTCCAGAAGGATGAAGGAGGAGCTTCCCTGAATATGTTAGACGATGGAATGGATTCTATGAAGGAAGAAAAAACTGCGCGAACTGCGGAGCAGCAAGGTCCAGCAGAAGT